TCACTCGACTACCTACCTCCCCTCAAAGAGTACGTTAAGCTTTTGGGGGAGTGACAATAGGAAACATCAAAAGGATGAAAAATTATACTATGTAATTACAATAACGCCATTGGCGGTCCCCCTTACAAAATACATGCAAAGCCCACCCATGACACACATGTTGACACCATGAAGGCACGCGGTTGGCACTCTGATGGCTCATTGTAGGTGCTTGATGGCGCGACGAAGGAGTCACCTGTGACATATTGGCAATCAGGTATGCCCAGGTCATAATGCCTCATCTCTCCTGGATTTGGAACTGCCACATTTTCTTTAGATGTGTAATATTACAAGAAAAAGGAAAAAAATGAAGTAGAAAATGCTTAGCATGAGGTTTCACTGATTTGTGCTGAATGTGACAAATAAATGCATATTCTTTTTTGGTTTCACTGTATAAATTGGAATCAACAGAATACTGAAAACTCTATCATCTGCAATTAATATTGGAAAGACCTTCTCTTCCACTAACACTCCATCTCAAATACATCAGTCATACAAAAAGAGTTAATTTTTGCGGAGAACTCTCCACTCATGCAAAATTTACATTCCATGACTCAGGATTTGTCCATTTGGCCCACACTTGCAATGGCATTCCAAACACTTGGTGTAGTATATGGTGACTTGGGCACAAGTCCTTTATATGTCTTCAGTGATGTTTTCAGCAAGGTGCCTATAAAGTCTGATGCTGATGTCTTGGGAGCTTTGTCGCTAGTGATGTACACTATTGCTCTCCTTCCTCTTGCAAAATATGTTTTTATAGTTCTCAAAGCCAATGATAATGGGGAAGGTACAATTTTTTTAACTTGATTTAGATCTTACCCTTGTATTAATGACCTTTATGTTTTTATAAACAACGAAAGAATAAAGAAAAGAACATGTTAGAACATATCTTTGTCAATCAACAGATGACTGCAGACTGTTATTGCAGGAGGCACATTTGCACTATATTCATTGATTTGTAGGTATGCAAATGTTAGTTTGCTTCCAAACAGGCAGCAGGCCGATGAACGTATCTCTAGTTTTAAGCTTAAACTGCCTACTCCGGAGTTGGAAAGGGCATTAAATATAAAGGAGGGCTTGGAAAGAAGATCTTCCTTGAAGACCCTTCTACTGCTTTTGGTTCTGATGGGAACTTCTATGATAATAGGGGATGGTATCCTAACCCCAGCAATGTCAGGTACATTTGGTGCTTCTTTATATTTTTTAGCATTTTATGCAATGTTGATATTGTACATTTTTCTACTAAGAACATAAACTTTAAGTTTCATAAACCACAAGAGACATGATGTCTTACCTGTTAAGTTCAAATTCACATGATTTCTTACCTGTTAAGTTCAAATTTACATGTAGAAATGCTACCCCACATGTCAATTGTGCTGCTAACATCACATGTATTTTTCTGGTTTTGTTTACAACTCAACTCAACACTAAGCCTTGGCCCAACACTATGGGATTTGGCTACATGGACCCTATTCCGCAATTCTACTCTGTAAATTACATTCTCCTTGTGCTTTACCAAGTGATGCTGCTAATATCACATGCATTTTGTTGTTTCAACATCCAGAATGCATGTGCAAGAGCAATGTTTGTCATTTTTCATTTGACATGCAAAAGATGAGCCAGTAATAGCTTCTTTTGAGAGCACCAAAGGCAACTATTCTAGGGATAAAACTTTGATAGCTGTAAAAAAGATGTCTAATGGTCAGGAAAAGCTAAAAGGCAGTATGTTGTGTGCTATCACTTTTACAAATGCTTAGGATACTGCCACTGATTCAATGATGAGGATCAAGGAACAGATCAACAACAAGTATGATGAAAATTAGTTTACTAGATTCAAAAGTTCAAGCCTACAGTTGAAGAGATGTTATCATCACCCTTTATGTGCATATGGTATTGATAGTGATGTAATAATCTGGATAAGGAATAAATCAACAACATGTATGATGAAAACCAGTCCAACGGGCCCAAAATCCAAGCCTGCAGTTGAAGAGATGCATGCACTGCCCCTTTCAAGAGCTTTGCCATGCCTGTAAGATATTTGTTATGGGATTTTTTTGATAGATAAAAGCAGTGGTTTTATTTATTTATATTCCTTACTACCTAAAGAAACTGGATAACAGGGGATAAGATAAACAGCCAGCCTTGGCTAAAACAAAGAAAATAAAAAACTTTACAGATTGGTTTCTGGCCCTGGATAGTCCCTATTACAAAGATCTCCCTAGTCACCTTGCAGTCCTAGGGACCTACCTGAACAATCTGTTCAGAATTTCCTAGTGCCTATGACTGTCTAAGGATCTATATGTGGGCATCAGAAAGTGACTCACTTCATGGCTGAGTTATTGGAGTCGCCACCCATCATGGTAGAGAAAAGGGAGTGATAGGACTCCCAGTGTTCAAATTAAATGGTTTTTGATTTATGGTGACTCTGTCATCAGGATAAGGCAATCCAGGTAGTTGGGGAGGAGAGAGGGAAGGTGTTAGGCACCGCTCTCCCCTGTCAATGTGAATGCCATTCCCCAAGAGTGTGGCAGACCCCTCGGTGCAACAAAAGACTCACTTCCTGTGGGTACAAACCGAGTCCGAGAAGTCTCTTGGACTCTGGAGAGCTTCCTAAATGTGTGAAAACAAGTATATTCGATATGCAATCATCAGATTCTTCTTACATTGTTAATTCTTTTATTTTCTCCCTTTATATATATATTTATTTTATTTTATTTGGACAGGTCTAGCACCAAACTATTTGGCCTACTACTTCCTATAGACACTAAGTTCTACTGGGGATTCGGTTTGGTCACAGAACCACCCATGGATTCACGCTTCCTTGTTCACAGCCTAGGTTTCGGACTAGAATCCAATGAATGGGGCATTACTGAGATTCTCCTTCTTCATGCTTTTCTTTGGAACCAGCCATTACTTCGAGAAGGTCCAAGTTAGATTGGTTCTGAACAGATGTAAGCCTGGACCAGGGAATGCAAGGGTCTGAAGCTAAAATGGTCTGAGGCAAGGATGCGAGGGGTGGATTGTAGTCATTTGAGTCCAGTCCCTTCAGGTCGAAATCCAATGAATGGGGTGATACTAGGGTTCCACTCTTCACACCTTTTTCGGAATCGGTTCCTACGTTGGAGGGAAAATGGGCATCGTTGCCTACGACAATCTCCCTCTTATCCTTCTGTTTCGAGCTTCCACTGTTGCAATGGGGGAAAAAAGAAGCTAACAATAACAATAATGCAAGAAACTGCAAGGGGAAAAAGTCTACTTTTGCATTTGGTGGATTTGTTTGGAGTTCCAGAGGGTGGCAACTGCACAGCCTAGGGGGTTCCCACGCGCTGAATTTAATTTATGAGAAAAAGGGGGTGATGAGAATGGTTTTCTTCTTCAAACACTCGAGCTCCTCTGCGTTTGGAACGATTTGGAAGCATTTGCTTGTCTCTGCGTTTGATGGGTTCGTTTGGGGGTTCCAAAAGGCGACAATTGCACATCCTGTGGCGCTTCTCCCACGCCTTTGAGTTCTGTGTTGGATTCGGGCAGAGGGAGGGTCTTGATTCTTTGCAACCTCGAGCCTAGAACGATCTGGGGTGACTATACTGGAAGAACTCACTATGTATTCAAATGATTTGGAGGCAGCCCAACTGAAGAACTCAGAAGGAAACCCTCGTGCATGCCAAGGATTTTGAGGAGTCTTTCAGCCCTTGGAAACCAAGCCCTGAAGCCATTGGCCTTGGAACTTTCAGTACTTGGGGGAGCGGTGACTAGGAGTTGTCGTGGAGAGCTAGTGGCAAGAAATGTAAAGGTTTGGGTTTGGAGGAAAACGATTTAGAGTCGCCAGAATCCGCCTATGGCGGCCTCTCCTCTTGCTGGCGAGCTTTGGTTTTATTCCCTGTTTGAGTAAGGAAGGTGGAGGGAAGATGAAGGACTTGAAGCCAAGTACCTCCCTTCTGACCCTTTTTGGTAAAAAAAAAGAAACTAAAAAAAAGAAAATAAAATGTGGGAGGAAGCCAGATAGGAGGGGAACTTGGGTGATGTGGCAAGAATGTTAAGTGAGAGGCTGGGCCCGTTTCCCTAGGCTGATTCGATGCCTTGGGTCCCCCACCAACCCCTATTTATAGTGCTCAAGTTGGGGTAGTTTAGGTATTTTTGGTGTTTGTGGGGGGGGGGGCAAAATGGTCCAAAAGATGTGAATTTCAAGGTATTTTAGGTACCGGGAAGGAGGGTATTTTGAAGGCGTTCAAGGGTAAAATGGTCCAAATGAGGTAAACTTAGGGGTATTTTGGGAAGGATGATGGGTGTTTTGGGTATTTTGAGGGTTTTAGGGGTAAAATGGTCTAAACACGGTAGATTTGGGGGTATTCTAGGAAGGATGAAGGGTGAGGGGTGTTTTGGACATTTTGAGGTTCTTGAGGGGGGGGGTCCAACATAAGTTGTAACAAGGGAATATTCTGATCCAAAAGTAAGCAACTTTTGGGTGGCCATAATTTACTCAGGAATGACTACTGTGTTGATGTTATATCACAAGAGAGTTGTGCAAACAAATGACAACTTGTTGAATAAAATCTCACTTGGTTTGAAGGCTAGGGATGGAGTTTTTAGGTGAAATTTGGTAGGGTAGGGTTTTTGAGGGTCCCAGATTTGTTGGCGGGGTCAAATGGGTCTAAAGAGATCTGCATCTAGGGGATTTATGTGATCATGGTTCTTAAACAATGAAAAGGGCTGAAAAGGAATCTTGCTTCGATCAAGGGGCAAATGATGGAGCATTGAGATGAAATTTGACAGGCAAGGGTTTTAGGGTACCTGGAGTCTTTAGGGGGTGCTGGATTAGTCATGTGAAGTGTCTAAAGGGGGGCTTGCAATTTAAGGAGATTAGTATCCACTTTTTGGGTGTTGACATTATATATCAATGATATTTTGCCTTTTGCCTCACATCCAACCAATAAGTACTTGGCAGTCTCCTTCAACAATTAAATCTGTCCATCCTTGCATCTTTACCAACCTCAAACCTTGGATAAGTGCTAGCAATTCAGCCTTTAAGGAGTTGCCTTGCCCAATTGGTCTTGAAATCTTGAGTAGAATGCCTTTATTTTTTAATAGTTAACAGGTATCATTTCATTAATATAAACAAGGATGTACAATGAGGAACAAACCGGGTATGAATACCCATAAAAAGCAGTCAATACAAATGATCCCAAAATAATTGCTCCCTAAAAATCCCTTTCCTTGTTAAGGAATCTGTCAACCCATTAGCATCCCTTGAGTAGAATGTTGCTGTTGTTGTCTCTCACAACTCCACCTAATCCTGAAACCCCCGGGTTGCCTAAGCTACAACCATCAAAGTTTAATTTTAAAGTGCCTACTTCAGGGGCTATTCATTCTTCTTGTCTTTTCTGATTCTGACTTGAAAGACATCCACTGTTTGCCATCCCATTAGGTATTTTCTTATAACCTTAAATTCATCACAAGTCAAAGCCCAGGTAGTTATTTGTTTTAACCATAGAGACCAACCAGAGAGTAATCATCTAATTCTTTGTTTTCAAACATCTTGGCATTCTTGATTCTTCTCACCCCAAATTTTTTGCCTCTTTGTGCGTCAAGACGTTAACTTTGTAGAGAAGAGGTCTATGACATTCATTATGGTTGTTAGAATGCTCGAGTCAGGGGTATTTTGRTCATTCYRGTGTATCTTATTGAAAGTGAAATGTCTATTGTATCTGAGTTTAAGTTATGTGTCCCATCTTCTATGAGGGACAAAATTGTCTTTCTTGTAACTCAAGTTTTTCATGAATAAA